AAAGGTACRGTCTTGATATTTACTTTATTTTACAGGGCCCTAATCAACGGATATAACTAAAGAACTTTTGTTTAGCAGTTTTTGCTCTATGAATAGACATAATGTAGGATTCAACCTTAAAACCGACAAGAATTAGAAACGTATCACGAATGGTTGATTTGAAGTCAATCCATTTTCCATGTATGAAAAGCACGAAACATCTCAATTGAGCAGCCAGTTGGCTGAGTAATTTACTGATTTGGTCGGTAAATGAGTCAATTTTCCCTGAATTTACTGGCCGCCATTTTGAAGGCATAACAGATTTTGCTTCCAGGGGAATAATTTCTGGGAGTGAGTTTAACGAGCAACATAACATTGCACCTGGGTTCCAGAGGAGCAAAAGAGCTAATCAGCTTACGTGTTGCCATGTACGTTACCACCCAATTAAAATCCTGTTGGAAAAAGAACTTTTGTTTTTAAGAATTCAACTGTGAAATGAAGATACAACGAACAATGAAACTTACTCCCGGGTAATTTGAAATGGTTTAAAACGTTTATAGCAACGCGTTAGCCGAGTAGGTCTATTGTGTCCAATCATAGACAAACTATTATAAAAAAATACTTATTTTATAGCAAGCGTATTGATTGCTTAAAATGTATATGTAACATTGGTTAAAAAAAACCATGTTTCTATGAGAGCATAGAAACACGGCTTTCAACTAAAGAGTTAATATTTTATACAAGCATTAGAATATATTTTGCAAGTTTCCATTCTTAGAATTGTTGGGAGAACACTCGATATGGTTTTGAATTACTCAAATACCTTTCCTGTGTAACCAACCAATTCGCATGTTTCTAAAGCTTAGTTTATTGCGATTATTTCAGGCGATTTTCAAATTAAGATTAATTTAAGAAACGCTGATCTGATTGTACCCTTTAAAACTTTACAAGTTAATTCTGTAACACACTCTTGACTTGTATAACCACAAAAATCGCTACAAAAATCGCCAGCGTGAACTATGGTGCATTAGTGGTCTAGCTTCGGCACAAACAATGCCATATTTTGTCGCATGAACAAAACACAAAATATATTTGTACCGAATCTAGTCCATGATGCAATGCGTAATGCTATTTATCATATAATTATTTATGAAATTTCTCTCTTTCGAGGTTTCTCTATAGATTGGAAGTAAAAAAAGTATTTTACGACATAATTTCCTTTCATGTATAATTATATGATAAACAGAATATTACATGGTCGCTTGTAGATACGAATTTTATCTTCTCGTTTTGAAAATCTTTCACTTGTTCTCTGTGGTCAATCGTGGAGATCTTTCCAACACTAGTAGATAAAATCCGTATCTCCGCTCGCCCATTGATTTCCTATATTTCAGAAAACAACTATGAAAACAGGGAAAATATATTTTCTAATGCATAACGAAACGCCGATCTGATGTGCGATATTATGTTTACAATAGGGTACTGAGGTGCAAATGGACGACATCAAGCGAGCCTATTCTCTGTTCTTTGACGAATCGCGTTCAACTCAATTCTTGAAAGAATACCAACAGCAGTTCATGTTTCACGAAGAATTCGAGCCCGTGGAACAAGAACCTGAAACTATGGACACGGAAATCATTTCATAGTTAATGAAACTGATCCTTGTCTGTGCGTGTGTAAAGCTGTTTCCATCTTATATCATGTTACACAGTCGTTGAAACGTCAAATTGCCTTCTATTTGTATTCCTATTCTTGCTATATTTAATAAATCCGYGCTTATCGAGGATGCATATACTGGCGCTACATGTATCATCATGACTTTTAATTAGCCCCTACTTCGCAATTGTAGTGCGTCACATCGGCAACGTAGCACGCTACAGCGTAGCTACATGCATCCTGCAGTCGTTGCCAAAGTTCAAGTATATCTACGTACAACATAACTATAAGCTTGTGCGTCAAATACCATACGTAATGCATTGCAAGATATGTTTGGGACAGATAAGAACATGGCTCAAAAAACTAATCCCACAATGCACTGTAAATCAGGTAGTGACGTAGGGTTAATCTTTTACCAGAAAGCAATAACSATGAGTGAAAAATGGTCCCATGTTGATTCACCTTCATTATGTTCTGGTTCATTGATACTGACAAATTGTCTCTAAATAGCCGCAATTTGTTAGTATTCAGTTTGATTTTATTTTTATGGTTTTCCTGCGTTTGCTCTATCGTTACTGACAGTACSTATMTATTGTTTGCGCCATTGTGTTATTTTCCAGTAYTGRTTGTCTTTGAAATTTTTCGTTAAAAATAATAATTTAGCGTACAGRTGTTAACACTGCATACTGAAGATATTGCATTCCAGTACCTGAAAGCATTGTTTGTAATATCAACCACGATTTCACTGTTGAATCACTTTGGATCAAGGATATATCAATTMACTGTTTCCYAGTGACTATGRCAGCTCTTTACCTTCAGTGGGAAGCAAGCTTGTTTAGAAATGTGARTTTGTATCGCCAGTTACGTTGCATATRMGCRGTGGAGTCCTGTGTGCAGCCTCACAGCATTCGGTTTACAGCGTCTTTTGTAATAGTTGTATGTTTTTGAGCTGMCAGCGTCAGCATACGCGGTGAATCTTGTAACATCTATTTCTTAAGTTGCTTTGTACTGATATAGTTTTGGAAATGTTTTGAATGTATGTGTATTCCCGTTATCTGCGCTGGATTATTGTATGAATTCTAATAATAAAAAGTTTAATCTGAACCTCTTCGATAAATTTTATGTAAGGGTTTTAACAGCAAATGCAGRATTTCCACCTCTGGTTCTCTTTACACCTACAGAATCAACTCATTAACATAATGATGAAGATTATAACATTAATTATTATAATTAATTGCCARCTTCTCATCCTCTCCTTTATCAACTGCTTGAATATTGTTCAGTGCAACCCACACGGACATATCCTGCAGAGATACATCAGAACTTTTACAAACATAATTTGAAATTCCTGGAKACACCACCCTACTTTAACTCAAATTTAATGACCAATCATTTATTACAAACACTCACCCTGTATATCCCAATCAACTCCATGTCACTGAGCTTTCCAATGTGATCATACCTCAGACACTTTTTTAACGTACACATAGGTTACGCMCCGATCGAACTTCACATGCGCAGAATACAATTCATTAATTAATTGCTCATAGTATTTGCTTTTCCATGCTTTTTTGGGGTCTTAGCTTAACRCGACTTCATACTTGTTGTAACATTTCGCATGCGTAAACGTCGTCCGTGTCTTTCGCCATATTGSAAAACACGCTCAATGATTTGGAATTCGATGGATTTGCATTCCATACCTTAATTCGACGCCTAAATGGAAGGCCGTAATTAATTATTTCATTAGATAAAGAATAGGATAGAATAGGAATGTTCGACTCATGTGAAGTCCAGCGTATAATGTAGGCTTAAGGTTGTTTTACATCAGACTGAGTGCCCCGAGCTWTAGTAGGGCTAAACTCCTTTTTTAAATCTTTCTCGGAAGAGAAAAAGAAAGAGTTTTTCTAGTGTAAACAGAGTTTCATAGTTACGAAATAAAACAAAATCGTAACTATTTAATAGCAGGTCATGAATATAGTACAAGCACTCTACACTATTATTATTATTATCAATTTGCATTTGTCTACATAAGATTCAACATCTCTCCACTCCTGTCAATTTGTTTAAAATCATTAGTTCTCATTGACATTCCTTTGATTCCTTTATCGCTACGTTTTAACTTCCGTGTCAAGCAAGGTCCAGACAAGATCAATTTTCACTCCGTAAGAAGCGAAGATATAGTTACATGACCAGAGATGTTTTGGATTTTGCTGTGTATTTTGCTAAGCTTGGGCGCTTTAACTATTAAAGGTAAGCGTACTTGAATGTAACAAGCATGCGTGTAAAGGCTTTTATAGAGTGATGACGTTAATTAATACAATATTCGACTGTATCTGTTTTGAAAACTGGCAAAGTACTGATACTCGAGAACTGCACGAGATTTACATATCTCATGATCAAGAACAACTGTGGCACCCGATATAGGCAACCTGACTTGCCGTATTCTCGTGGTCTACTGCAGAGTGAGTTGAAAACACAAAGACAAGACTGCAAAAAAAATATGTGTTACGAAACGTTTATATTTATATGTGGTTCGGCTGCTAAACTGACTTGTCTAAAATATCCTAGTTGGAGAATTTTCGATGAAGCATGTCTAGATCTTGTATTTTTTGACCTGAACTTGCCGTCAATATTGTCACGGAAACGGACGTTGGAATGCAGTCCTAAAGCTTTGTAACGTTTTCATATTACGAGCTTATTCACTGATAAAGCAYCCAACAGCATRGATTGTAAAATAGCGCGACAGGTAAAAAGCATYCACAAAGTAGGCCTCTAAGGCCAACGTTATACGTCGAAGTTCACATGCGACGAATGTAATTCCTGTTTTAGTCGACTAAAACAARCAATCAACTACCGCACAATTCGACAGAACACGAATTTGATTCAAAACTGTCGAATTTTATTGATTAATACGCCGCAACTCAAATGCATAATCAGTATTCTGTGCATGTGAACTTAGGCATATATATATATAACCTTTGGCCTAACTGTCTTAAAATTATTATTAATTGCATTACTTTTTGTCTAATTTAGCCGGKTTGATATCGAGATTTAGATAATTTTCTCATGCAGTCCAGCTCTACTACGTCGTACTGCCTAGTCAGAAAGTTTCTTCCTTACTTGATTCTTGCTTCTTATTCGCAGGGTGTAATACTGATTTAAAAGGAGACAGTGGTGAATTCTCAATTGANCTTCCTAAAGTGGGTCCCATTTTGGCCACATATTTTGGCCTTTTTCCTGAAAAGTGTGGCGAGTATTTTTAAGCGAATTGGCTATTTTTTTAACCCAAGAACAGTACGCATGAATATTTAGACAATTGCTATCTTATTTTTTGTAACTCTGACTATTGCTTCTCTATTTATTTCAAAGATTCGAGTGCAAAGAGCTGGAAACCTGCTTTAAAACAATCCAAACCTGGTGTAGTTACCATTAATTGGGATCCCTTGACGCTGCCATCAAAGAACTATATTGTTGTACCGTTGTATAACTTTACTMRGAAWYGAGAYCCATTCCTGTACATCATTGAACATAGAAATGACACATCGATAGCAGTGGAATACCTTAAACCATCAACTCCATACTRGTTCAAAGTCATTGCTTTCGATTCTACGAACACGAGAGGACCCTTAKTTGTACGCAGCAAAGCAACTCTCTTYATGACAAACGGTACATAGTTTTTTTCAGAATGTAGCTCTGAATGGGGTTTTSCACTCTAGAACTAGGTTGGCGCCTTATCCTTTGCCTTGTCATTATTAGGGCTAGTTCATAAGGCGTATTTCATAATATGTATTCAACAAAATGTAGGTTACCGCAGACGCTATTTTTATCAAAGTTGACGTTYTTTTGAAAAACCGTTTTTTATCAAGATTTTCGATGTTTTTTTGTTTCGATGCACAATTGTTATATGTCGATTAAATTTTATTGAGAAAATGCTTTGAAAAACGTGTTTCAACGATGTATACTTTAGTTATGTTTTAAACAGAGAACACGGTGATGTGATTTTNATGTAGAACTTGTACAGTAAACTTTGTATTTACCGAAGGACGAGTTACTCCATCTACGTCATCAACCCAGGCTCCCTCGCACTCGGCCAAAAATCATTTGACCGAATTAAACGAGCATAAAAAATATAAAATTTGGAAATTCGAATTTTTTTTATGTGAATTTGTGGTTTATAACTCCTAAACTTTTTTTTCCAACTGTAAAAAAAATTGGGTGAGGTGGACTTTAACAGAGGGGGTGCCTTATATTTCACTCAAAATTTTCATAATTTTTGATGTCTCAAAATGCTTGAAATCGCGTTTCTAAGAGTTATTTCTTTCAAGTTTTGAAAAAAAAATTCAAAATTTTCTGGGGAGGACCAGACTGCCTTAATACTCCCGCCTTTGGCGTTCGTTAGATCCAAACTAAGTGTCGCGGTCCCTGACATCTGCATAAAAAGTCAACGCTACGCGCCTGACTAATGGAAATCTAAATTTAAAGACTCGTTGATGTGGGATTGAAATTGACTAAGGTATGAATTGTTTTCAACTATTGATTTTTTCAATTTTGTCACATAAATTGAGGATGTAGTTATCACATAAATTGAAGATGTAGAAGCTGAAAAACATATTGATGATTTATTAGACATAAAAAACACAAGTAATATCAAAGTCGTTTTCGACCATAAAAACGTTACATAAGCCTTTTTTTGACCCTGAAAACATTTGCCTTTACTCCAGATGAGAAAGCCAACTCTTGCATCAAGGTTTGTCTTTAGCGAATTTTGCGTTGCTACAGTTGAGTCGACTCGCGTCTGCTTAAGTTAATAGTGAGGAAGG